GGTTTATTCTAACTAAATTTGCCCAAACACTTTCCCAAATGCAAATGTCAATTGTAGAAAATTAGCGGGTTCATCAAAATTGCTCATTATTTTTCTTCGGCATTGACAAGAAGAAAAATAGTACAAAACCATCCAATTTTTTCCATGGGTCATCTACCCATGCAAATTTCAATGAGATTAACTTCAAATCTCTCAAACACAAATTCTCAATTAGTGGGCCACACTTACTCATTAATTTTCAATTTTTCCCATAGGTCATCTACCAATGCAAATTTCAATGAGATTAAATTCAAATCTCTCAAACACAAATTCTCAATTAGTGGACCACACTTACTCATTAATTTTCAATTTTTCTCATAGGTCATTTACCTATGAAAATCTTAAAATCTCAAAATTGTCTCAAAGACACAAATTCTAAATTAGTGGGCCACACTTATCCATTAATTTCCAATTTTTCTCATTGGTCATTTACCTATGAAAATCTTAAAATCTCAAAATTTGGAACTATGTCGGTTTGATCCCATAAAGAGTACGTAGGCAGTCTAGCGTCCCACTGGACGCAACCGCAACTAAATTTGAATCCTTGGTTTATTCTAACCAAATTCGCCAGAACACTTTTCCAATTGCAAATGTCAATTTTAGAAAATTAGTGGGTTAATCGAAATTTCTCATTATTTTTCTTGGACATTGACAATAGGAAAAATGGTACAAAACCATCCAACTTTTCCCATTCGTCATCTGCCCATGCAATTTTCAATGAGATTAAATTCAAATCTCTCAAACACAAATTCTCAGTTAGTGGGCTACACTTATCCATTAATTTCCAATTTTTCCCATGGGTCTGTTGGAAATATGCCCTAAAAGCCAATCATATGATGTAATCTTTTAAGGATATTTCATGTATTAGACTTATGTTTAATCCTCTTAAAGGGCAAGTTTATTGTTTATTAGTAAATGTCTCATTAACAGTTACACATGCTTAAACAATAAGTCCAAGGGATGTGAGATAGAGAGAAAGTAATCTAAGGAAGTTAGATTCAGGAGACCTTTCCTCTATTATCTTCATGCCCTAAATGTTCCTAGTCATAGGATTGTCAAATGGGCACTGACAATCCGGAAAGACCGATACATGCTATGTCTTCTCAATTGGGAGGATGATTGGTCTCAAGTCATTCGTGTGGAGACACTAAGACAAGTATGTAGGTGCTCAATGGAGAATGAGTTCACTGAACGCGATCAAACGAGAGTTTCTTGTATGGAAATTTTACTTATATGTCAAACAAGAAACTCCAAGTTGCAATAATGCAAATTAGTCCTTAGACCTGAGGCACCATGGTTGTCTTGTGGGAAGGTTGTGGATCTTTGATGATGCTATAAAGACATGTCCTAATCACGGATGTGTTGCAAGCATTGTTGGGATTCAT